GGTTAAATGTGAAGTTATTGACGGGGGAGAACTGAAGTCTAGGCGTCATTTGAATGTTCGTGGAAAAAGTGCAACACTTCCTTCCATAACTGGTATAATTCTTTTGTTTTTGTTGTAGATCCATTGCAGTGAGGCTATAGGTTTCGGCTACTGTTAGCATGCTAATACAGTGGACAATTTTATTCTACTTTGCCATGGGTTTAACTTCACAGAGAAGGACTGGGAAGATATTAAGTTTGGGGTAGACAATCAAGTAGACTTCTATGCTGTGTCATTTGTCAAGGATGCTAGAGTGGTTTACGAGTTAAAGGAATACCTCAAAAGTAATTATTTTCTTGCTGTCTAATTTCCCTTTTGTGCTTGTTTATACAAGCATGTGGATCTGGCGTGCGTGTTTCTTATTTATTGTTGTATTTCTCCTTTTAAGAACACACGAATTGTACATTTTTTCTGCAGAACAAAATGCTGATATACACGTGATTGTAAAAATTGAAAGTGCTGATTCCATACCAAATCTTCATTCTATTCTTTCAGCTTCAGACGGGGTTAGTTTCTTACTGTTCAGATTATGTCTTATAGATATTACATATTTTAATCCCTTTTGTTAAAACTATCGAAATTTATGCTATGCTGGCAGCCTTTTTTTCTTTCTCTCGATCCATATTACCATTGATCATATAAAAGTTGGAATTAATTTTATGGAGGAAAAGTATTTACTATGATTGAAAGTTCTATACTTCAGCCTGTGAACATAGTCCCTAAAAAGAAACTAAAAAATATAAGTGGAACTTTTCAAGATACAAATATGGTTGTCCCTGTATAACACACAGATAGAACTGTTCAAGTGTTGAGTTTGCTGTTTTTGTAGATTTATTTTTCAAATTTTAAGAAAGTCTCGTATTCTTCACAGGACTTAAGAAGAGCATAACTTCACCTCTAGCTGATGACTAGAAGCTACTATAGTTTTCCTTTCCTCTTAGTGTTGTGCATTCATGATATCTTCTCTGCATCAAAGCTGGGTGCATTTCATGGATTATGATCACTATCTTTCTTAATTTAGGATGCCATTTCATGCAAACATGTTATGGTAGCTATTGTCTGATAATAACATATGCACTACTTGCATAGTTTCAGCCTTCTGGTCAAATAATGGAACGATGGTGGGTTTTGGTGCCTGTTTGTTTCTGCACTATTGGTGGTTGATAATCTCCTTGTTTTCTTACAATATCAAAATACCAGCTTACTAGGTAGATTGAAGACACTCTTGTGTTTTGGAAAGTGTGCTGATGTGCTTTCAAGTTTCAACTTTAATATTCATAGTTAACCTTGATCTTACAGATACCGAAACATAATCACATTCTCTGCACAGGATTTGTAGTAGATTCTGATAGACTTGATAATGTATGAAAATGAATCTTTTTGGAAAAGGCTAAATTAGGAAAATCTATTGCACATCTTTTAACCAAGTTTTGCTGAAAACTCCCTCGTATGGCTGATTTGACACTTGGTATACCTTGAACTGGTTTGAACCTGTAGATATATTTCTCAACTCTCTCATAGTCTATATACTTTAGAGAAAGTCATTAAAAGTTATGCAATTGTATGGATCAAAGTATGATATTTATCTGTGTGTAGCATCTAGCTCATTGTTTGAGTTCGTTTTATTTTGCAGGCCATGGTTGCTCGTGGGGACCTTGGAGCTGAACTTCCGATAGAAGATGTTCCTTTATTGCAGGTAATCTCATTCTCAGAACATGATATGTATGCCATAGTGACATGTATATAGGTTCTTTCATTAGACAATCTACAAAATATGTTTGATAAACAATGTTTTTGTACATTTGTTTATAGATTCAATATCTTAGCGTCTGTCAGGGATAAATCTAATAAAATAGTAATTTAGGTAGCTGTTCTAAATTTCATTTGTAGTTTCCCTCCCTCTCATAAGTGTTGTTTAAGGTAACACACTTGTTAAGAAAATGATTAGTCATGTTGATTTCTATAGTAAAATAATATGCTAACTAAAATACCTTTATAAAAGTGTAAAAAACATTACATGAAACCGAGTTTTTTGAGAGTAGTAGTAGATAGGTGGATATACTATTTAAATAAATGAGGTATTGCTGAAGATAAGAAATATTGTCTTGGTGTTCTGAAGTAACTAAGAATTTGAGACAGAAATATTCCAAATAGGACATTTATAATGAGACTGATGGAGTAACATATTGATGTCTATAGTTGTGTGCATTAATTTTGAAGAAAGCCCTTCTCTACTACTTGTATAGCTGTCACACTACAAAATTTAATGATGTTCTAGAAAGCAGTGAACTAACTATAGCCTGTCTTTGTGTGTAAGTGATGGCTTTTCTAACTTCGAAACAGTAAAAATTGTGTATGAAATTTGATGTCTTTGGTTGTTTAGAATCCATGTAAAATTTTATATTAAACTTATATTTTCTGTTTCTCCTATCTTTTTAATAGTTTTGGGATATTAAGTCAAGTCTGCATAAATGAGCTATTTCATTTAATAGTTCTTTAATATATCTTCTAACTGATATATAGGAAGTAGGAGTGTGTTGACTCCATGCTCTATGTAGTTCATTCCCATTTTTAATAAAACAGGAGGACATCATTAGAAGATGCAACAGAATGCAAAAGCCAGTTATTGTGGCTACAAATATGCTTGAAAGCATGATTATTCATCCCACACCAACTAGAGCGGAAGTCTCAGACATTGCAATTGCAGTAAGACAAGGTGCCGATGCTGTCATGCTTTCAGGAGAAACTGCACATGGAAAGTGTGTTTGCTGTTCCTTAGGGACCTTGGTTCCTTTTTTATTTTAGCACTTCAAACCTTTTCTTAACCTTCAATTTTACTGTTTGTAATGCAAAAGAGATACTAGTTTTAACCCTTTTTTTTAATTAAACTATTTACCCCATTTTTACTTGGGTGGTTCATTCCCTTTCGTATTATGATATCTCAGGTTTTAAAGATGCATAGAACTGCTTTCATTTGAAGATGCATGCCATTCCTTCACTATATAACTGCTTTCATTTGAAGATGCATGGCATTCGTTCACTATATAACTGCTTTCATTTACAGATTGTAATGCGGTTCATTTAACAGAATATGTCTTGTGCTGATGAGTTCTGCATTTGATGTATTTCTTTTCTTATATTTTTAAATTAATAAATTTATTTTAAATGGATTACAACTGCTTCAGATATCCATTGAAATCTGTTAAAGTTATGCATGCGGTGGCTCTGAGGAATGAATCCAGTGTTTTTAGAAGTGTTGCTTATCCAAATCATTTGAGTTTCCACAAGGTACTTAGTTTGTAAATAAGCCTCCTTGTGACTTACATCGTTACATATCCAGTTATGAAGTTTTGTTTCATGTCTAGAAAATTTACTGCCATGGATTTGACTGATAATATCCTAGAACCTAATTAATCTGCGTTTACATTTTGACAGAGTCATATGGGAGAAATGTTTGCTTTCCATGCAACAACTATGTCTAACACTCTTAATACTCCTATTATCGTGTTCACCAGAACTGGATCCATGGCCATTCTTTTGAGCCATTATAGGCCCCACTCAACAATATTTGCATTCACAAATGAGTGAGTAGTAGCAGTATGTATGTTTCATGTTATGTTTTTATATCGATCTTATCTGCATCGAACCAGAAAAATAAAGTTTAGTCGACGAACTTATCCTTGCTATGTTTTTAAGATGAACAGTAATTGTTATAGTTTTGAAAATGAATAACATTTTTTCCAGGCATGATCATTTGTATATTATCTCGAGGTAATAGGTGCTTAATTCAGGATTCTTTTGAATCTAACTTCTTATTTTACTATTACAGAGGAAGGATTAAGCAGAGGTTGGGACTTTATCATGGTGTTATGCCTATATACATGCAATTTTCAAATGATTCAGAGGAGACCTTTGCTAGAGCCCTCAAGCTACTATTGGTGAGTGATATCTCCATCAATTGCACACATCATCCTTTTTTTTTAATATTCTTTTAAATGTTGCTGAAAGATTTCATGCTGCAGAGTAAAGGTCATTTACAAGAGGGACAATATGTTACTCTTGTTCAAAGCGGAGCACAACCAATCTGGCGTAATGAATCCATTCATCACATCCAAGTTCGTGAGGTGCATGGATAAAATTCTTCTGTAAAGGGTCTTTCTTTCTCTCGAGTATGCAATAGCCTTTACTTTTCTCGCTCACTTTGTGATTAGGTCTTGCTATGAATTGTAATTTTTATTGCTATGCATTTGAAACAGCCAGTTGATTAGTTTAGAAGCTTCTGTAATGCAAATAATGATTTGTGGAGCAATTTTTCACTCAATATTGCTTGTTAATCTGCTGTTTAGTACTACAAATTCCTTCTTTTTTTTTTTTTTTGCTTTGGGGGAATTATTGGCACCTTTGAGTGCATTTAGTAAATTTCTTAAATCACATGTTTATGTTATCCTTTTTGTAAGTGATCTTATACAGAAGTTATTTTATCAAATATACTGCAAGCAGTATAATTTAGTCAGTGCCTTATTTTAGTATAAGTGCTTATGCAGGATTCTTTGCCAGTTCACAATACTTTAGGAGTGACTTTGGTATGCTGCTAACAATTCAGATTTTCATTGGTTGATTGTCCAAGATATTAAGAAGACATCACAATTGGAAATCCAAGCAACATATTTAACTCATTATTTATCAATAGAACTTACAAATGGGAAAGAAGGAAGGTTTCTTGGGACCCTAAAACAGTCATTGTCTCATTGAGCTTTAGTTTACACAACTGGGCTTGAAGAACATAAACTGAAAATCAGAATGTGTCCTAAATACAGGTTAAAGTTGGAAGAGATAAGAGACTTGTGTAAGAAGGGTTTCTCTTTCTGCAAACCTGCAAAGCATTTCTTCCAATGGAACATATAATCAAGATTATATCTACCAGTTGCTCCTTCTTTCGCTTATTAGCATTCTCATGCAAGTTAGACTGTGAAGCTACTTGGGTCATCATTTTCTTTGGGTTTCTCGCCCAGCTGTATACTCTTGTACCACTTTGCACATGCAATATAGGCGATCAAGTCCATCGATGTCAAGGCTGCTAGGAGGAAGTAAAACCTATCTAGGTGGCCTTTATTGAGGTTTCCTGGGATCCACCCTGGCATATGATCCTCGGTAGATATCTTCATAACTATACTGACAAGTAAGCTACTTACATAGTTGCCAAGGGAAATGGATGTCATGCAAAGTGCACTTCCGAAGCTCTTTAAGCCATCTGGTGTCTGAGCATTGAAGAACTCTAACTGCCCTACATACATAAACACCTCAGAAGCTCCTATAAATGTGTACTGAGGGATTTGCCAGAAGATGCTCAAAGTACTCGACTCTTTGCAATGGGTGCATGTTTGGTTTGCATGCTTAAGCCTATAGCATTCAACTATTCCAGCTGAAAGCATTGCTATCACAGCTATAACAAGTCCAACTCCCATTCTCTGAAGCTCGGTAAGGCCCTTAGAATCTGACTTTTTAAGCTTTCCCACAAATGGGTCAAGAATTCGACGGTAAAAGAAAATGAAGACAGCCACACTAATAATATCAAAGCTAGACATGCTAGCTGGTGGTACTTTGAAATTGGAAACAGTAGTTTTCATGGCAGCACCTTGCTCCACAAAAAGAGAAGCCATTTGTGTGAAAACCACCGAGTATATTATCGTGCAGAGCCAAATCGGAAGAAGTCTCAGTATGCACTTCACTTCTTCAACTTGACTTACAGGACAAAGACGCCATGGACTGTAACTTGCACATTTCTGGTTATCAAGATCTCTTGAAGATATAAACGCTGCCCTATCCAAGAACCTTCACAAAAAAAGAAGGAAAATTGATCAACTCGTTTTAGTTTACTAGAATCACGAATGACCAATAATGCTGAAAAATCAATTTTGGTTGCAAAATAACAAAGTTAGCTTAATAATAAGGGAGAAGCATTTCATGCTCACAGCCCCGGATATACACATCAGCTACATATGAAAGTATTGTTGTTGCAGCTGAAGGTAGCTTCTACTACTTACTTGAACCCGTGAGTATGGAGGATTTTTCTGTTCATATTGGCGGAAGACTCCTTTGTATCCATGTTATACAAATCATCTCCGTTTGATGGCATTTGAACTTTCACTTTCCTTGATGCGGCCACAAGGACTTGGCAAAACCTAGCAAGCGGGTTGCCACTAGGCTTGAAATGTCGGTACCTTGGGGTGCCTACTAGAAACAGTATCAGCGCAGCAAAGGCAGAGCCTGCAGACAGCCAAAAACCAAGAGCCCACATTCCTTCATCCTCAAAATAGACCAGAATGGTGTTTGAAAAGAGTTGCCCAAAGTTCAAAGCTAGGTAGAAGTAGCTGAAAAATGCCACTTTATTGTGACCCTCTCTCGAATGCTCCTCGTCAAACTGATCAGCTCCGAATGTGGCAATATTTGGTTGATAACCTCCATTCCCTAACGCAATGAGATAGATTGAAAGGTTGAACATCGCCATTTCCAAACTTGAATGTTTTCCACACGGAATCGATTCATTTCCACAGCCTCTTGGTTTAATCAAGAAGAGGTATGATGACAGTGATAAGGACATTAAACCCTGTCATATATATATTGATCAGTCAAGGAAATAATGTATAATCAAGAAATAAAAGAGAGTGTGGAGATTGAAAATGAGAGAAAATCTGAGGAACTACTTACTATTACAAAAATGACTTGAAAGACGGCACATGTTTTATATCTTCCCCAATAAGAGTCACTAAGGAAAGCTCCCACAAGAGAGAATATGTAGACAGTTCCAGTCCATTTGCTCACATTGTTTGCAGCTTCTGCATTACTTTGTCCTACCACCCTTGTCAGGAATACCACTAGGTTCACTCCAATCCCAAAGAACGCCAGAGTTGCCAGACATTGGTTCACTGATCCATCGATACAATGAATAACAAAACAAACAGCATTAGCAACATGTTCTTAATACTCTGTTGAATCGAGCAAATTAAATACGTCTACATGCATTATGCCAAGTGCGACGCATACTGCTGAATTAGTGTTCTGTTTTCATGTTCAAGTATTCATGTATGAGGTTATGTTCTTTTTTCAGTCTTATTGTTTATGTTGTTTTGGATTCTGTTTTTATGCAGAATGAAAGACTTGTATACAAGGAAGCAAATATCAGTTAAGAATTAAGATTATTTACTTAAGTTCATTTTCAAAATATGAATTTGTTTTCATGTCTTGGCTGAGTGGTGGAAAAGGTGTTGCAGAAGAATTTTATTTTATTTCTATAAAAACAATAATCATATTCATATTATAATATTAACACACATGATGTTAAAACAAGTTTATTTTATATTATATTGTTAGGTATATGCTTAGGTTTGCATTTATTATATAGGTACAGAAAATACCCTCTTGTTAATGGTTTCAGAGGTGAGATAACACTTCAGAAAAGCAATTTTTGTGGAAAGGAATTATTCTTTAAATTTAACTACTTTTTCCTTAATAACTAGGTACTAGTAAATACTAAAAATACAAAAGCTTAATCTTCCATTTCAGGATTAATTATACTCTTTATAATTAGATTGGTTACATGTCTATTGTCCATGACACGTGTCATCCACCAAAGCAGTGCAAAATCTTATCACTCATTACGTGTCACAAACATATTTCTATGAATTGCATGCTTCATTTCTTCATTTTGTCTTTTCTAAGTTACCAAAATTTCAGGCCTCTTGTCTTTTACAGTTCACACCCAGCCAAAACCCTCTTTCAACATTCACACACTCTTCTCCCTTTGTTTGTTTTTGATTATAAAGTATTAACTACTTATAAAATAAGTGACGATAAAAAAGAGTAAAATTTAAGCATGTGAATTCGGTGGCACTTGCAGAATCTTCATCCATACAGTTTTGCATGCAACAGAGCTGACAAAAATGTTACATAGGAGTTTGTATGGAAACTTGTCGTTTTTATAAGCTAGAAAAGTTTCAACAACACAACACAAAAAGCAACTTCAACTTTCATTTACTACTACTTATGATAAGCTATCTAAAATTTTATATACGCAAACAAGGTAATTTCTTTATAACTAACTAACAAGGTTTCTCAAACCTCTACGGCACCAACACCAATGCCTCTCTCTCTCTCTCTCCAGCTATCATAAACTATACGTATACGCATAATATACATATATATATGTATTTGCATGTGTACTTTTTCCCTCAAATTCTTGGGAATTAATAAAGCTTGTAGAACAAGATTATTCACAATTTATTGTACTATTGTATATATCTTGTTGATCAAGATTCAATTGTTTTTCAAACAAAAAAGAGTATGTGATGTGCTTATATATCTAGATTCTTGTGTAACCGAAGACAAAATACTGCAATATCTCAGTTATCATCGGACTCTGACAATAGTATGATAAAAAATGTTATGTTTGTTGAGCTTACAGAGTATGATGGTTGCAGCACTCCATCTTCCAGATTTGGCTCTGATTGCTGGACGGTTATAGAAATCAACACTTCCATCAAGAGTCAACTCTTCCGATTCTGATTCAAATTCTGAGTCTTCTTTAAACTTGTTCTGCAAAGAGTTTTTCAAAACAAAAAGTTACATCCATTTTGTATGTTCCAAAAATGTATATAGTAACAAAAACAACAAAGGATGTTCCAATTCACATATATATGACAAAGAACAAGTACTATGATGTTTTTAAGAATGTTTATTTAAAAATGGAAAATTTATATTTATTTATACTAAGGTACCTCTTTAGAGTGTTCTAACTCTAAGAAAGACATTGTTGAAGTGAAAGAAGAATGTGAAATTTTGGGTTGGTAGGAAAATGCAGGGAGGATAGTGTCCTGTAGGAGAAGAAAGTGAAGGGTGAAGAAGAGGAGAACAAATAAATGTTAAGGAGGAGAGTGGGAGTGATATTGTATAAATAGAGGAAGAGTGTGTGGTATTAACGGTGGAGATTTTAGGCTCCACATGGCATTATCATCCAAAACTACCTAAATTCTATCACAATGCAAGCTTAGGTTCTATGGGAAAAATATCTTTGAGCTTTGTGTTTAAAATTAACAACATTTTATTTAGATAAGATTAATGTTATGTGTTTCGTTAGGTAGTTTATTAATTGATAATGTACAAAAATATTTTATTGTAGAAAAGTTTAAATTCATATTATTTTAATTACAAATTTAATTAATATGGACTTATAATTTAAAGATATTTTACACTGTTAATTAATTATAATTGTTTAATTTTTTATATGTGTTTAACTTTTTTTAATTATATCTAAAATATTATTTATGAATGGTTGTGATATACTTAGAGTGTAAAATTTATTATTATAGGGTATATACTAATTAATCTCTTTAATTATTTATTTAAAAAAATAAAATTCTAATATTTAAACTATCAAAATAAAAAAAAGTTTAAAACATTTCTTTTTTATAGTAAATTTTGGTATTTTAAAGGTGGCGTTTAATATGAAAAAGCATAATAGTTTTCCACTATAGAAAAGTTTGATTTTTATGTCACGTGTCTTCTTTAATATGTTGATTTTTTTTATCAAATTTCTATCTCTTCACTGCATTGTTTCTTGATCTTCATCATTTTTATCTTGATCTTCATTATCTTCGTCTTGTTCCTCATATTAATCAATTTTTTTTGTTAAAAAAGTTTAAATTTGAAAACAACAACTACAACAAGTTTGGTATGTAACAATTGATTTTGGATTTATTAAACTACAACAATAACAAATTCGATTGGACTCCATGGGTTGATCTTTATCTTTATAAATTATTGTTCTTCATCTTAATCAATTTTTAAAATATATATATATATATATATATATATATATATATATATATATATATATATATATATATATATATATATATATATATATATATATATATATATATATATATATATATATATATATATATATATATATATATATATATATATATATATATATATATATATATATATATATATATATAAATCACAACAACAACAAATTCAATATACAACAATCGATTTTAGATTTGAAAAAACTACAACAACAACAAAATTTGGTTGGACTAAAACAACCATTGATTTCCGATTTTTAAGATATATTTTTTGTTTTCTAAGTCTAGATTTTTTAAGACAAAAAAGATGAAAATACAACTTTATGCGGATGGACTAAAGATGAAAATTTGATAATGTAATTTTAGTCAATGTCATGCAGTCCCATAATATTTAGGAGTGATGAATCTTAATCTAAACTTAAGAGTTTCAATATTAGTACGGATGAGTTTTTAGATTTAGTTTTACGTAGTTATTTAGATCTAAATATTTTTAAAGAATAAATGGGTGAAGATGATGAACAATCCAACGAAAAAAGTTGAAAATTGATAGAAGATGAATACTACAATCGATGAAGATGAATATCAATTAATTTTTGAATAAAAATTCAACAAGTTATCTATAGATAACCTATAATTATTTTGGACCATCCAAATTTAATAATAATAAATCTATGATTAAAAGTGTACTTTTCCATGGTGAAAAAGAATTAGGCTTTTCCACCTTAAATACCACCATATTAAGAGATGAATTTATTGAGTCACATAAAAGTATCATATTTTCTCATCGACGGAAATGACTTTAGTAAAATTTTAATGAGTGAAAAAAAATCAGAGATCTTATTAAACTTCTTTTAAGGTTAAATAGCCTAGTGACTTGAGTCCATCTTTTATTAAAAGATGAAAAAGCAAAATATATGTGAATTTGAATTCACACCTATGTATTTGATTTCCCTATACAATGAGTTGTCTTAATGAACTTTTTATTAAACTTTTAGATAATACACAAAGTTACAATAATATAAAAAAAAAATTAGATTAATAAGTAAACTCAAAACAATTTTCTTTGTACGATTATAACTATATTATTATTATTATTATTATTATTATTATTATTATTATTATTGGTCAATCATACTGATCTTGGTCAACTACTGTGAAGGAGTTGCAACCCTTCTAAAATCTTTTTAGAGCATGGGAACTATCCTATTGATTAATGCATAGAACCTAAACTTTAAGTGCATTTAATGACTCTATGCAATTTACGCCTAACAAATAGCAAGTTGATTATTTCCTCTCTAATATATATAGAGAGAGTGACAATTCAGGTACTTAGTTTAAAATTCAATTTCAATTCACTTTTATTCCTCACACACTGACTTGAGTTTTGTTGTGCTAACCTTGCAGGTCAGCCCCTCCCCGCCGCATCAGAAATCAAAATCCGCCATTACCTCTGATCTTCACTCCATTTCTGCTTCTAGTATGATACAATAGTGTCGTATGTGGGAAACAAATTTTGATTCCTGCAATTTTCATGATTTCATGTTCGCTCTTCAATTCGACAATTCCTAACCTTCTTGAGTCATCAAATCAAGAGCATTCAAAATTAAACATAAAGATCCATTGCATTCGATCCAATCAAGCATCATTTCAATTCTGATTTTTTTACATTTATCTATCTCTAATTTCTACACTTCCAAATAATGGCGGAGTCCAAAGCTACTAGTTTCGCTGTTGTGCGAAAAGCAGCCTCCGCTGCCATAACACAAGCAGCGATCAATCAACCAGATCCACCTCCTCCGTAAGGCATTGCACATCTAGAAGTAGATGTTCCATTGCATCCAGATCTGTTTCAGGCTCCTCAGATAGTTGGATATGTCTAACTACCTTCAATTAGACCTAAGATTTCACCTCCAGTTTCACAACCTAAAGCCTTACCTTGCTTCCAACTATTGCGAGGTAACCTTAGACTGCAAGGCACCAACGAACTGCTGAACAACATGTACAACATCGTTCGACAACAAAATTTACAAGCGATAGAAGAAATGTTGCATTTCCTCAAAGAAACCTTCCACAATGTGCCTCAACAAGGGAACACCGTGCAAGAGTTCTATCTTAGAGAACTCACAGCATCGTCCCCGAGTCGAACGCAACGGAGAAAGATGAAGTTCCTAAGTTGAAGAATCAAAAGAGGATCAAGAAGCACCAAAGTCTTGTGCTAAGCCCATGGGGAGATCGAGGCAGCCACATTTTCCCCCCGGATTAGGCAGAAAGTCAGCCACCAAAGAATCACCACGAAGAAGCCATCTAAATTGGGCAAGTACAATGGAAAGGGAGATCCATACGAGCACATGCAGTTCGTCAATGATCAATTGAATTATTTATGTGCTAACAAAGCCTCATAATGCAAGTTGTTCGCATTTAAATCTGGTTGGGCCGACCCGACTATGATTCAATGGTCTACTATTTGGAAGCATTAAACTATGGACAAATTTCCGCAAATGGTTCTCTGCGAACTTTATTGCCCAAAAAATATATCCTGTGACACTAAGTATTTTGAGCAGGATCGTTCAAGCGAAGAAAGAGAGCCTGCGGTCTTATAACGACTGATTTTCACAAGTTGTTGTTGAAGTATACATAGCCAAATAAGACCTTAAGTGTTAGTTCTTTGAGAATGGTCTTCTGCGCGACCATACCTTCAGGTTTAAGATAGGAAGAAAAAGGGTGAAAACGACTTAAGAGATATTGAGCATGACTCAGTCTACCATGATCTTGGAGGAGAAATTTAAGACTGCCAAGCAAGGATCAGTGGCGAGAACAAAGAGGCCAGAAAAGGTAAGTGCTCGTATATCTCCGCCATCACTATGGGGCATAAGAAAACATCCCATCTAAGGGAACCATGGAGAGAAAGATCGTTGAGATGTTGGCCGTCCATAACAATGATGGCAGTACATCGGTGAAGACCCCTGACCGATCTATGCTAGGATCCAGGGAGTCTGAGAAGGTGGGAGGAATTCCTAATTAAATCTTCCCCTGGTGATTACAACTATAATAAGGCAGTTTGACATCTTATGAATCTTGATTGACAGTAATAGGTTTTGCGATATCATGTACTCAGAGTTGTTGAAAAAATGGGTATGGAAAGAGGAAGTTTATGATCATATGAAGACTCATACTTGCAAATATTCAAAGATAAGATCACCCATTCATGGAGGTATGTCGAGATGATAATATCAATATGAGAGTGGAAGGACGCTGGGACAATCAATTCACAATTACTCGTTGTCTCTTGCAGGAGCATTTACAATTGTATTCTGGAAGGCCCTTCACAGCCATCATGGATGCCATAGCCTCGCTAGTGCATCTTAAAATCAAGTACCATAATCTGTAGGGAGAACCAGCCACCATCAATGCCGATCTTAAAGGAGAAAATAGAATCTATCAAGCTCTCTAAAGAGACCAAGGAGAAGGTGTAGGCATGGAGATCAACGTGTCTTCCCTGACCAACCAATTTAGAGATGGACATCTGTCCTCCAAGAAGTGGCTTGGAAAATGATTAGCAGACATGGAAAATAAGAGGCGACAAGCCCACCCGATTATGTTTTCTTATTATTTGTATTACACACACACGCACGCGCACACACACACACACGCGCGCGCGCATACACACACACATTTATATATATATATATATATATATATATATATATATATATATATATATATATATATATATATATATATATATATATATATATATATATATATATATATATATATATATATATATATATATATATATATATATATATATATATATATATGATGCGATTCTTGCGCAAAATAAATTACTTTCGCAACAAGTGGAGTTGTTGACACAATAAATATCAAAGCTTCCACAACAAATTAAAGAATTACACGAGATTCCCAACAAGAAACAA